TGAAGTCTTAGTTATTTTATGTAGGATGGTTTAAATTTCCAGGGACTGTAGTAAGGGTAACACAAACTAAAATGCTTGAGTATCAAAGGAAATATGTCTGCGTAAAATGCAAACATGAAAATTATGTGGAGGCACAATTTGAAAACAGGTTAGTATTGTTTTTAATATGTATTTTCTCAGAATGCCTCTCCAATAGAGAAGTTTGGCTGTCAAATTCATAAACTTTTTTCTCTTGCAAGGTGTAATAGTTGTTATGCAGCTGGGCCATCCATCTACAGTCTTTTCCAAGCCACAGTACCTATTATTAAACATTATAGAAGCATGTGTAACCAGTTGTATAAGCAGTTGTACAGTCAAGAGCACATCAAGCTTGACACTTTGTACTTTGGACCGTACTTATCACAAGCAGCACAGACTTGGGTTTAAGTATTAAGTGTCAAGCTTGACATGCTGTTGACCCTGTACCAGCTTGTATAAGCAGCTATAGAAGCTTGTATAGGTAGCTGTAGAAGCTTGTAATATTAGCAATTGTGTATACTTGTTAAGCTGTTGTACAAGCCTATTAGCAATATTTAAAAAATGTAGTGTTTTAGCATTATACATAATTATATCACAGGTACATTCTGAAAGCACCTTCAAAGTGTGGGAATCCTGACAGATGTAAAAGCTACACTTTCACACAAGTTAATCTTGTTTCAAGAGAGCATTGCAAGGATTACCAGGAAATTAAAATACAGGTACTGCTTCTGTTCTTTTGCTTTGAAACTTTCTATTCTATATAGATTTTATTTGTTTTTTTTTATTATGTAGATTTTTAGTTTATTTGTTTGATTCTTCTTTTCCTTTCTTGCTTAGAATAATGTAAGTTAACCCAAAAATTCTATATCCTTCATTTTAGGTCCCAACTATTAGAACTGTAATACCAACTTGAAATAGCCATAATGCCTAAACTTCTGCTGTTTATGTGTAGCAAGTTTCGAGTTCTCAGATTTTTAAACCAACGAGTGTTCAGCCATGATCACGGGACCCATAAAAAGCCCGAAAAGTTGTTTTGTTTGGAAAAACAAATATACACTATTTAGATCCAAAAAAGCTTAATTTTTAGTGTGTAACTAACAAGTCTACCCACTAAATATTATGTACAGCCGTGTACAATTAATAATTTCAGCAGGATTTCAGTACATTATCTTCTTAATAAATGAAGCTTTTTTATCACAGGAGCAAGTAAATAAACTGAGTATTGGCACAATCCCTGGATCCATGTGGGTGGTGCTGGAGGATGACCTTGTGGATAGCTGCAAGCCTGGAGATGATGTGAATATTTGGTGAGATTTATTATTTGTACACATGCCAGCACATCAAGCTACACATTGACGTATCTTGTTCCATTGCACTGGGGGCGATTTTCGATCAAAAAAGTGTAGTCTGATGTACAATTGCCCGTACATGCCTAATTTATATTCAGGTCTTTAATATAAAGTCACACTTTACATTGAATAGTGTCTACAATAATCTGTCTATATAAGTATTGAAATTGAATCCTTGTGACTGTATGTACATATGTTACATAATCGTCGCCTTACTTTCTCAGATTCATATCTTAAAGCGCAAAGCAACTGAAATGCAAAAAATGCATTGTATATACTAATTTTGCAGGCTGGTTTTACATCACATTTCCTTCATATTCACTCACTGGCTTTCTTTAAGTAATGCATCCAAATTAACACCCTTGATAAAAAATTTAAAATAAATGGAAAGTTTTGATATCTCCTGAATAATCACTCTTTATAAGATACGTGTTTAAGAAAGTAAGGCAACAACATGTCTTTAATTTCAAGCCATTTGTGAATGTTTAGTTGTCAACGAGAGGTATTACCTGTTAACAAGTTAACAAGAGGTATTGCCTCTTGTTAACAGAATGAAACCTCAATGTTTTCATTCACTGTTTTGTTTCATAACCTTGGAAAGTGTGTTAAATTCCCAACCCGCATTGGGGCTAATGTGGACTTGGCTCAAAGTCGCCTCAACTCTCTTCAGATTCATGTCCCACATTGGCACATCTAACGAGTTGATGAAGACACTGATACAGAGTTGCGCAGTGGGTTAAAACGCAAAGCCTGCCTGAGTTTTAATCCATTTCTGCCCAAAATCGTGGGCGGAAACGGCGAATAGGGAATTTGGTATATTTCCACTCTTTATTACATTTCTAATATTTGGATCGATTTATTTCAATGCGATTTTCAAATGAATCGATTTAATAGAACTGCAGTCTAGATCAGAAAGCTATAAACATTTTATAATAACATTAAAGAACAAAACTCGATTTGCAACAAATATTTAAGTAGTTGTAATTAGTTTTTGCCCTCGATTTCTGGCTTTAATGGGTTTTAACCCGATTTAAACCCAGCGTCAACAAAGCGCCGGGTTAGAGCCCGGACGCTTGCCTATCTCTGTACTTATGATATTGGTGTGTACTTATATAAATTGACCTTCATACAAAATTTAGTATAATCAGATTTTGACGTATAACATTGTTACAAAGAAATAAATTTCTAATAACATGTTTATTGTGATGAAGATCCCAAGAAATAAGTTCTTAGTGTTCTGTCTGTGGTTTGTAAGAACCTATTTTATTTGTAAATTGTAATAATTTAACTTTCACCATTTACTGGTATTTACTATTTGAAAATCAATTATTTATAAAAGAGGTCTAATTTGTTATTTCCGCATGAGTTCAAACAGTGAGTTGGAGAGAAAAAAAGAAGGCATACATACATTTTTGAATCTTGGTTGTTTCTACGACTTTTTTTATTGCAAAAATGAATTACACAGTGAATAAAGGTTTCTAAATAAGACGGCGACACGATAGAGTAAAATAATACACAGGGATTGACATAACAAGGCCGACAATGTATTGGGTGTACAGGCCATGTATTGTGATACACGCCTTATTGAAAACAAGAAAAAAATATGTAGTTCTATGGTACTCACTGTATTTTTAATAGATTGTTCAAGCTCTTGCTTTTTAATTCAAAACGGCTTCTTTGCAATAAAAATAAGAAGCATAAGTTGCCTCTCAAGAAGATTATATACTTGAAAGGTCCTACTATTATTGTATTGTGTTTTTTGTTCACAAAGGTTTCTTTAACAATTGTTAATCTTTCCAGTGGTACTGTCCGTCGTCGCTGGCGACCATCAGTTCAAACTAAAAAGTCTGAAGTGGATCTGGTATTCCAAGCTAACAATTTAGAAGTCTGCAACTCGCAAAGGTGCAAAGTAATATCTACAGCTCCAGATATAAAGGAGTGCTTCAATGAATACTGGTCCAAATTTGAGGCCTGTCCTTTGAAGGGAAGAGATCAGATTCTTACAGCTGTGTGCCCGCAGGTAATTCTTATTACATTCACAAACTTATGTGATAAAAATATTCCAAAGAATATTAGACAAAACAACATATACTTTAAATTTTTATTGAATTGATATTCAATTATTTTTTGTGAAATTATTTAGTATAATTATTAATACAAAGATAGAACACTCAGAAAAAATTCCTTCGATACGGCCGGATTCGAACCGACGTTACTTAGCTTACCGTGCCAGACGCTATACCAACTGAGCACGGAACGAACCAGCGGACCTCACGAATTTTTCTATGTGCTTGCGTCGTGTCTTTGTATTTGGTTTTTCAACAACTTTTTTAGTCATAGCGCCAGCTATGAAAGATTTATATAGACAGACGTCGGTTCGAATCCTGCCGGATCGAAGGAATTTTTGCCGAGTGTTCGATCTTTGTTTTAATAATTATAACAACATATACTTGTATAGCTTTATTAATTGTGATCCCTGATAAGGGCCATTTTGTGATACCTAAGAATTATTTCTAGTAATAACGATAATAAATAATGAGCCATATGATCACAATAATTACTTGATCTCAAACCAGGGAATTACTCGTACTATGCATACCAGAATAACAGAATTCACTCCGAGGCACTACCCACGAGGAACGCCCAGTTTAGAAATCGGAAGTCTATTTCCAAATTGATCTACCGGCAATTGAACGTTCAGCCGCCGAAATAGTCTGGCATCACATGAATAATACGAGGTTATCATATAAATGTTATTGAAGCTCAATCCTTCCGTAATCTCTGGCGCAAGAAACGTAAACGCTCCTGACCAATCGCTTTCCAATAATTTTCTGGCGTTTGAAATAAATACTCAGGATTGGTCGAGCGCATTCTCCTCGTGCCGTCCCGAGGACGAGCGACAGCTCAGCTTATAGCAAACTTTAATAGGTTTAAATAAAACTAGAGCATATTTGTAGGTATATGGACTTCACCTCGTGAAGCTTGCAGTAATGCTCACAGTAATCACGGGTTCGGATCAAGCTTTGGACACTGATAATGAGATGAAGTCGTCCCAAGAAGATAGACACACGACTCGAGTACGCGGACAATGCCATTTGCTTTTAGTTGGGGATCCAGGTAAATGGTTTACCATTTAAGATGCTTTTTATCAGAAGACTTAAAGAAAAATTCGTAAAATGTTCACAAAAAAATAAATATAATCGTTTAATAATAATAATGCACATACTCAATATAGCCCCGCACTAGGGAAACCCTGTGTCGCGCGTGCCATGGACACACGCATAGACAACCACAAATTACACCCAAACTCGCGAGAGATATAAATGTAGGCCATACATATTTCTCCCGGCCCGAGAATCGAAACTGGGACCTCTGCGTGGCAGTCCGGCATGGTAACCGTTCGGTCACAGAGGCAGTTAGATTTTATTTTCTCAACACAAGAAAAATACACTTGCAATAGACTAACAATGTTACATGTAGTATCCCTTGTGAGAGACTAGAGCCTACTAAGCAACTAAACCCGTATTACAGCTCATCAGGTCTTCACCTTCTCAGAGTAGTCAAGTTAAGCCAATAATCTTTAAAAAATCCAATAAACTGTTGAGCAACAAATATTGTAAATATTATTTTAATGCTAAAATGTAGAAATATTGTTAAATAGTAATGGTTGTCTTGTTCATTGACGTATATTTGCTCAAGGCATTAGAAACACGGGCGTATATTGTTTCGCCCAAGCCTTTTAAACGACGCCAATTTTTTAACAATTCAATTTAACACAGGTGCCAGAGCTTTAAAGCGCAAAGACCTGAGTGGCATTGCCACTGCGCCCGTCACCCTGAAACATTTCTTTATACTATTTAAGAGATAGGCTGCTGATAATGAGCTTCCTGCACTGCATAGCCAGCTACTTTGACGTACTTCTCTTATTCTTTTTCCTCCTATCATCCTCTCAATTATAACTATAAAACCTATAAAACTTTGTTATAATTATTAATACAAAGGTCACTCAGAAAAAAATCCTTCGGTCCGGCCGGATTCGAACCGACGACGTCTTCTAGCAAGTCGTGCTAGACGCTATGCCAACTTAGTCTCGGAACGAACCAGCAGACCTCACGAATTTTTCTATGTGCTAGTTGTCCGATCTTTGCACTTGGTTTTCAACGACTTTTTAGCCGTAGCGCCATCTATGAGAAAACTATTAAATTATTTCGTAACCCTGTTAGGTAACTTTACAGCTACCGGCTCTGGCTAGAGATGTCGCTATTATTTGTATTGAATTGATATTCAATTATTTTTTGTGAAATCACTCCATTAGTTTGCAAAGACCGCATTGAAGGCATTAAAAACAATTCTAAGTGTTTGATCTTTGTATTAATAATTATAACAAACTAGTGGAGTGATTTCACAAGAAATAATTGAATATCAATTCGGTACAAATTTACCTATACAATTTATTTAACATAGTCACAGATTATAGCGATAAGGATTTTAAAAAAATATATGAAAATGGTCAATGCCATTTAAAAAGCGTTGGTGTGAAAAGTTTTCCCATTGTTGTTGTATTGGACATGTTGCAGGCACTGGCAAGTCGCAGCTTCTTCGAGCAGGGACTGAGCTGAGTGCTCGTTCCGTGTTTACTTCTGGGGCTGGCAGCACCCGGGCAGGACTTACTTGCGCTGCTTTGAGAGTATGTTGCACTTCTATTATTATTATATTTTTTATAATACCAAGTGAAGGGACGAACAAGTCGTGTCATGTCGCTTACCACCTGGCTATCCATAACAGTAGTCGTGCCACCGAGAGCTTTAAATCGCAAAGATCTTAGGGGCACTGTCACTGCGTCCGTCACCGTGAGACATAAGGTGACAAGTCCCATGTGCCTATAATATTACCAGCACTCTTACCATTCTCAACCGGAACGCAGTAATACTCACATTACTACTTGGCGGCAGAAATAGGTAAGGTGGCAGTACTTCTCTCACGAACTCTTTCACAAGGAGCTCTACTGTTTAAAGTAATTGCAAGTCATTACGTCACAAAACAAATATAATTTTTCATTAGCCACTCTGACTATTCCTATATCTGATAATAGCCTCGCCTTTTAAAAAATATAATATCCCGATATATATTTTCAGGAAGACGGCGAATGGCAGCTTGAAGCAGGCGCTCTAGTCCTGTCAGATGGCGGTGTGTGTTGCATCGACGAGATCGGCCAGCTGAGAGAGCATGACCGCACTGCTATACATGAAGCTATGGAGCAGCAAACCATCTCTATCGCCAAGGTCGTACATCTATTGCGACTGACACGCCATAAGTGTGTTTATACGCGTGCTTAGACACACTGACTAATCACCATTCAACTCGTTTTTATATAAAAAATAAAATCTTTCCAGGCTGGAATAGTGTGTAAATTGAACACACGGTGCGCAGTAATCGCGGCGTGTAATCCCAAAGGCCGGTATGAGACTGACCAGCCCCTCTGCGTTAACGTGTCGCTGGGAACTCCACTGTTGAGTAGGTAATAAGAACGTTTCATATCAAACTTAACCTGTTTTGTTAGAACAAATTTCTTATCTGTGAAAATGTTATTATTGCTTAATAATAATTCGATTTTATTATTACATTCAAATTTCGAACATCTGAGAAACAAAACAATTTGATTCGACTTCAATTCTAATATCAGTCGAGATGAAGTTTTGTTTGAAATGAAAGGTCAATAGCAAACAATTTTGACAAATTTCACACGTTACTTGATATGATAGTTGGAGTCGACTCTAGTTTGTCTATGAATTAAATAAAAACTACAGTTGTGTCTTAGAGGATGGAAAATATAAAGGAAAGGAGCCACCCTATCTACGGAATAAACGTACCTACCTAAACTAAAATTGTACCACACAAATGGCAGATTTAGTGTTGTACCATAATCATAGATAAGTCAATATCGACATACAAATTGAATGTTGAAACAGTTTTTTATGTATGGAAATTTGTATAGTTTACTGTAATCAAAGTATGATTACTACTAGGCAGTCATTTTAATCAAAATTAAATATAAACTTATTTAGCAATAAATGTAACGATGGTTTTGCATTATCTACATGATAATGCAAAACCATCCAATCAAATCAAATCCAACCAATGATCTAGTTACATTCAAAGTTCTATTAAAATTCGACTCTTCAAAATGGAGCAAACAAACGAAGATGGTATTTGATCCAATGTTTATGTTCGACAGCCATTTCCAACCATTCTTTCCATATTCTTTCTTTCTTTTTTCATTTGTAGGTAAACTTTAAAAATAATAATAATGAAATAATAAAAACCTCGTAGTGAATTATTTTAATAACAGAATATCGATAATATGTCTGCTTACAAGAACAAAACTATCTCAAAATAATCGTTATCAACAATCATCAAAATTACTAACAAGCAGCCAATCTAAAATAACCAATGCAAAATTCGGCAAGACTTATGAATAAACTACTTAAATGAGTCTAATTACATCAGATATTTGGCCTATTGCATGATTTATAGGCAGAAAAATAACACTTGCCGGTGTAATGTAACATTCGGTTGATTTCCGCTTTTTCTACATCGCCACCCTTAATGCTGCAGCGACGCATTTTTGTCAATACTACTCAATTGTTCTCATGGTCAATATTTTTGTCCATTTCACTACAATTCATGCGAATAATTCACTAAAACATTTGGCCAAACATTGGTTTTGACATTTGATGTACTTCCCTTTGACAAGCTATAAATTGACGTATCTTGTTCCGTTGCACTGGAGGCGATTTTCTAACAAAAATGTGTTTTCTGATGTGCCGTTGTACGTACTTCCATTTGACAACAGGAAACGGTTGTCAAAGGGTACTACAAAAATGGCAAAATGTTGGCATTTAAGATGACGTTACGTATTTTCGATTCCCGTGTTTGACATAAATCAATGTAGTGCTATCTCTTTTGGCTTACGACAGTACGCAGTAGTTAAAACAGACAATAAAATGTTTATGTTTTCAACGTCTAAATGCATCATATACCTATGACGTCTGATTTATATATATTTCAATGTAACATGTCCTTTGGTTTCCAATAGTCCTAAGGGTTGTGTGACATACCTTTTTTTTTTTTTTTTTTTTTTTAGAAAAGTTATTTGCCGCCATTTCGCCAGTCGTAACATGCGGTTCCTGAACACATCATAGAGAGCTTATAATATGTGTATAGATAAAGCAGTGTATGTAACTGAACATAATTACCCAACCCACACTAATATTCTAATGCCTTTCATTATGTAATAGTCACATAAACTACTATTATTGCTCATTGGGACAAATACATAATAATATTATGGATCAATAGGTCAAGAGGGCTGCTAATCTCCATACTTTCGTAATCGTAACTCGGAAAAAGATCAAAATTTTGTATTTTGTCTTGATGGCGCTGATCCTCATAAAACTATATGTATGTAAATTCTTCTTTAATACGAAATACAAGAAGTCAGTTATTTTTCCTTGTAATATTATTGAAATATTGATCATGAGCTAAAATTATTTTCTGAACTTCGAGAAAGATTATGCCTCTCAATAGATGGCATTGTGTGTTACAAACTAAATTACAAATTAACGTTTCACATATATGTGTAGATGGCGCTAATCTTAAACAAAGTAAAAGAATAGCTGGCACTACTATTCATAAAAATCGGTGCAATAAGCGCCATCTAGTTGATTTGTTTGTTATCACTAGAAATTAGAGAAGCTTTGATGAAGTGCAGCTATACAACAAATTGGTATACAAAAATATCTATTTGGTACTCGTCGCGACATCTGGTGTACCAATAAATACTAAACACCCGACTACGGTCTTGTACCGCGATTAGCAGTCTTCTTGAATTATTGGTCCATTGTGTTATCCACAGTTAACTGCCTCCGTGGTCCAACAACAATCCTGACTGCCACGCAGAGGTCGCAGGTTCGATTCCCGGGTCGGGATAAATATTTGTATGGCCTACATTTATTTCTCTCGTGAGTTTGGGTGTAATTTGTGGTTGTCTATGTGTGTCCATGGCACCCGCAAGGGTTTCCCTAGTGTGCGTTATCATTGTCTCATCTGTTAATACAAAAAAAAAAAAAACCGTATTAAAATTAAGTAATTTTTGTTCAATATGTTTTTTTTTTTTTATTGTGACTCGGCAAAATGACTGCACCGCGCCTGATGGAAAGTGCGAATACAGTCCAGAGATGAGAGTAACGGATGGAAAACACAAATATCTTCACTCCGTCACTATCATTTTGCCGGTCTGGCCAAATGCTTCTTCACACTACGTTTGAAGGACCCGATGTTATAGAGGGGGGTTCTAGTGATAGAAGTGATGCGGTTTAAAGACTGGGGACTGTGCAGAAAAATTGTTTCTATTTGCAATATGTTTGCATGTCTATTGCTTTTGCCCTGCCGAGCACATCGAAACCGTGACGGTGTGTTACCCTCCTTACACCGTCATCTCACCTTTTTATATCGTATCATTTTTTCTTTTGCTTGTATTTAAATTTGAATTGTTCCATCTTCCTTCGCTTTCTCATTTTTGCTTCGTACCACGGTCACTCTCTGCTTGACCTCGATAGCAGACAGAACTACTAAATCAAATTGTCTATTTTTTTTATTCTTTTCAAGTTTAATCATAATACAATCAATGTAAATCATGTATCGACCACAATAAGCGAATAACAGTCTATCCAATATCTGTAATTCAACATAATACAACCCGATAAGGGTTTTTTTACTTTTCCTTTCATTTTAATTTACTTCTTTTAATAAATTTTGTGGACCGGAAGTTTCCTGTTTTACTGCCGTGATCCTGATCACGGTTGTTATGGTTACAACCCTTTTAAAACTATACTTATTTTATTACTAAGTGATGTATTACTTACACAGCCTTTACATATTTAGTAGCAGTAGAGCTCCCTGTAAGAGTTCGTAATGTGAACATTACTGCGTTTCGATTTTGAAGGGCAAGGGTGCTGGTGACATTTTTAGAACGCGCAGTGGTGATCATGGGCATGTCGCTTTCCACTAGAAGCACGATTTGTTCATCCCATCATTTATCACAAAAAAAAATTCTTGGCATGATTTGGTTGGTTACTTGAGATGTTTTTATAGAGTTCATACTTCACTGTAAAAGCAAGTAATATAATACATTATTATTTTTATTATTAGGGTAGCTACATATGCAGCCCCTCATCACTGCGACCATCAACTGATCTACTGTGATATAATTTATACAAGGTTATTTGTAAAATATTGGTCCTCGCAGATATTACGAACATCATAAATAAATAACTTTCGTTCCATGATTTTTAATAATAAATAAGATTTTACTTTATAACAAAAATAAAATTATTTAAATAAATCTCTCTAACGGTGGACAAACTCTGTGCGGTGGCGTAAATACCAGTCCGATGCAAAACGCAATGGCCGTTTGAACTTACTACTAAACACATCAATACAAAAAGTTAAGTTTATTTTTGGTTTTATTATGTTTTGTAAAAAGTCATGGGACAAAAGTTGTTGTTTTCGATGTTAGTAATAGCCTCCTGCGAGGCTATTAGTATATAGTAATATATTATTTAATTAACTATACTTGTGATTGGTAGAAGATTCAAAAGATTAATGTGTATTGAATGAAAATGTTTGTATTCCAGATTCGATCTAATATTTGTTTTGCTGGATTCCAAGAACAAATCATGGGACAAACTTGTGTCTACATACATTCTGTTTGGAGATTCCAATGCAGCTGAATCTAAAAAACAATGGAGCATTGATAAATTGCAGGTAACTTCATACACCTGAGGCAATTTTCAAATTGTTTCTTTAAATTTTCGTATCTTACAAACAATTTCAGCCTTAATTGAAATATATTCTTTTCGTCGTTATTTGATACGGTAATGTTGTAAATTGTTGTATTCCCAGATGTACATTGGTCTGGTAGGACCGAGGCATACGGAGATGACGAAGACAGCAAACATCATACTACAGTCTTACTACATGATGCAGAGAAAATCCGAGTACAGGGATCCTTCGCGCACTACAGTTAGAATGCTCGACAGTCTTGTAAGGTATGTATTAGGGTCAAGTCACACTAAGAGAGGAGGCGCGCAGCGGCCAGAGGAGCTAGCACAGTGCCTCTTTGAATTAGTTGCTACAAGTCTCGCGCGACTGCTCGCGGTGCCGCACTGTACATTCTATCACTTTAAATCATAATGTTTTTAGAACATAACATTCAAAATGCTAAGTAATACTTTGCACCTAAAATGCCCCTCCAGCCGCTGCTGTTTGAGTGTGACTTGATCCTTCAGGTGGCTCGATTTTTTGACGATCGATACGTGATCAAACGAAACGAGTAAATTTGTAAGCAACAGATGATCGACATCGTATTTTTTGCCGATCAACATTTTGTGATCAGACAAAACTGAGTAATTGTGTTTAGAAAGCACACGATCGATATCGTATATTTTGTAGATTAATACGTGTCGATCGTCAAAAAATCGAGCAAATCTGTAAAGGCACCTTTAATTATTAAATATCGTCTGTGGAATGGGCCGAAGCGTTACTGAGGGATAATGAGCCATATCATTACTTTGGATTTTTTCTGCATCATTCCATCAGACCAGTTTTGTAATACTTGTGTACTGTTTTGGCGCTTCAGTAATCTGATGATTCGCTTTCTCATAGCGCTTTTTATTTAAGAGTTATGAGGCTTACGACTGAATATACTACCGTACGAACATCATCTATAGGAACATTATTTTATTTGATATTTACAAAATTTGCTTTCTATATATTTTTTCTCCAACCACACCAATTACCTATGGTGCAAGGTGCTTTTGGTGGTACGGAGAAACAATCTTCCCTGTTGAAATTCGGATGTTTTTAATTTCAATGGCCTCTCGCAGCATCCTGGGTAGATAACGGACTTCTTTTGCAAGAACCTGGGGTTTGTCAAACTTAAAAACTCGCAGACTGCAGACTTGTTTACGCGACGGTGTTTGACATCAGTTATATGTTCTTTGATGCGGGTACAAATACTTCGCTTCGTTGGTCCAATATAAGAGAGACCGCACTCGCAGTCAAGCTTGTAAACTCAGTAAGCGATGTTACATTTCACGGGTCTCAGGAACTAAGAAATCTTCCTCAGGGGTTTGAAATATGTCTTGATAGATGCACGCCTGTGGACTCTTTCGATCTTGTAACTATAGTAAAAAATATAGGGTGGTTTGCATTAATATTAGACATAACTGGTTGATGACTGTGTACCACCTCAGTCAACCGTGACCATGGGACTCGATATTCTTCAGTTGAATTAACTAACTAACAATGACTTTCTTTACAGGTTATCTCAAGCCCACTGTCGTCTTATGTATCGCACTATAATATTACCAATGGACGCCATAATAGCAGTGTCCCTCGTCGATCTATCAATGCAAGACTGCACGCTTAACGACACTGTCGACGCCTTACATTCGACATTTCAAAAGTATCCTGACTTTGAATACCTGTTAACAGCTAAGAAGCTCCTTGCGAGGCTAAATTTGTATGAAATTTGGCAGCAAGAATTGTTGTTCTATGGAAAATTACTGCAGATCGACCATAAAACTTTAGAAAGTAATATTGAAAAAGGGGATCCCTCATTATTTGCAAAATATGACAATATAGTTAATGATACTGTTCCATTGACAGCATCTTTGGTTACAAGCTCTTATTTCAATATCAATAAAAAGACAAATGTTGAAGAAGTAACTACAGAAATATATAAAGAAAACTTAAAAGATAATGTTATAGGAAAAGTAAGTGACAAATTAGCTGCAACATTAAAGAAACACGCTACATTAAATAAAGTAGAGAGAACAGTTGTTCAAAAGAAACAAACCAAGCGAAAACGTAAAGAAGTTACAGTTGACACAAGTTCTGTTGTGAAGAAAAAACAAAAGAGACTTAATAAACCTAAAGTTTTAAATGAAAATGATATTGCATCTGAAAGTGAAGATGAATTTGATACTTCAAAAATTTTGCATGGTGTACCAAGTGTAAACGATTTTTTTACAGACTTGGGTATTGATTTCAAATTTAACGAAACCCCAAATCAGGATGATAGTACTAGAGAAAGTAAACATGGTGATATTATCTGTAGGCATAGTACACAAAATGAAAATGTAGTAAGTCACACTAGCAAGGTAACTCAAAAGGAAAATATAGTAAGTCCTAGTAGCAAGATAAAAAGTCCACATAAAGATAAGTCCAGTGAATCTAAAGAAAGTTTGAACTCATCAAGACTAAAACGGTTAAAACAATTTCAATTTGTTGAAAAACATGATTTGAGTAAATATGAGGAAAAGGTTCAGAAACCACTCACGCAAAATAAAATTAAGGTTGAAAAAGAGGCAGAAACTCATGAGAATGGGAAATCTGCTGGTAAATTGCAATTATCAATTTTTGAGAGCGCAGTTTGTGAAGAAGTTCTTGCATCACAAAATAAAGATGAAAGTATAGGAAGTTCTAATTCTTCTGACAATCTTAGAGCAGTAAGAAACTCGCAAGTGTCATTGTTTGAGAATTCAGATCATGAAGAAGCAAATATATTGCAGAATAAAATCATATCAAAATTAGAAACGTCAAGAAAAAATTCTTCAACAAATCTAAAATCATTGAAAAGTTCTCAAATTTCAATTTTCGAAAGTTTCGATTGTGATATTGATCTAGATATCTAAATCTGAATTAAGAGTTTATTGTGTGTTACTTTTATGTATTTAATTACTGCATAATCATGTCACATGCATATAGCCACAGTTATAAACAGTTTTTGTTTTCAATAGATGTGTTTTTATTAACAAATAACAAATCTTCTCCTATCATATAAACACAGTTATCAGTTTTAGTAAAGAATACTAAACAGTACTCTTAAAACAGTTATGTAAAGTTACACAGTATTGTCAAAGACTAAAATGTTACATAATATTATGTTCTCAAGTACATTACTTCAAGTTATTTTATAAAGGGTTATTTGTAACATACTAGAAGCCTTCCAGGATTGTATAACTTACATCATAAAAAGTAACTTTTGTTCCATGACTTTTAATCATCAGATTTGACTTTCATACAAAAATAAATTCTTTTTTTATTAATAGACACTCTACGGGGACGTCGCGGAGGATGCTTGCAAGTTTGATGATTTAGTCCTTACTATCCAACATAGATGTGCCGCCGTTAGTTGAAAGAGTGCTTGTGACAAACACTCTAAAATGAGAAAATAATGTTTAAAGAAATGAAATTAAAAGAATATCAACTTTTCTTTAAGTTCATACCTAGGAAGAAATAATAGTGACAGATCAGCCTTTCTTTACTGATCTTCTTTTAAATGTTATGGCCCCATCGAAATAATCAATCATTTTGCCAATGTCAAGTAAAAATAACTACGTACGGTAGTTTAGTATTATTATAAAAATTATACAAAAAAAGTGGCGATTTCGCCAATGTCCTGTCATATATGTTTTTACTGATCATGGCAGCATACATAAAAATTTTTTTTCAATAAATGTCACATGCGTCTTTTACATACGAGTAGAACAACAAAAACTTAAAGTTGAAATTTGGTCAAATTTATTGTTTTGTAAAAAAGTCAGAACAAAAGTTGTTTATGATTTTAGTAATATAGTTGTTAGTATTTACCAAAAACCCTGTATATTGACATGGTTGGTTCCTTCGAGCAAAGTTTGTGCAAAGAAAAAAGTGTTTCTGTCTTTGCATAAAACCTGCTACATGTCTTGAAACTTAATGTACACATAAAAATTCTTACAGATTATATTTGTCCTATATGCATTTTGCTTCTAAAAATTCCACTTTACTGTGATTCAACCCCTGAGGTACCTTTAAAAGGGTCATCTTCATAGTTTTCAATTAGTAAATTCTTGAACCTCCTCGCAGTGACTGCAATTTGGTCTTCCTTAGCTGTCATGTTTATAATCTCCACTCTCGCAACATTCAAATGGTCTTTATTCTTGGGACTTACCATTTTTATGACATCTATTTCATCACCAATTCTTACCTTGAAGATAACATTAAAAATATTTGTACAAAATAATTAAACAGCACCAATAAAAGAAAATCAAAATTTTTCACATTCAACATGTCATCTCCAGAAATACTATGTGAATAGTCTGTTTTCTACACATTTACTCTTGATTACACATTTTGACTTATCTGAAGAACATGCGATTATACAGCGAAATATGATAAATACATAATCTCATTATTCAAAATAAGGCTAATCGATAGGTCTTTCCAGAATTTGCATATCTTATTTCGTTTAATAAAAAACAAGTAATAAAAAATCAAATGACAGTCAATCTGATATCCACAAAGAACAATGAACGAAATATACGGTGTTCTGAGAATAAGCAGTCTCACACAAAGACCTTTGTCCTATGGACGAATCGATTTATGGTTTTCTGGAAAAGTGGCTTATCTCAAAAGCACCTAATTGTCAAGAAGACAGTAAAAAAAAGAATGTGGTGTGCAAGGCCGACAAATTGTATACCCGCTTTATGTTGTCACATACTTGGTACTTGGTATGTTGTCACATCCCAAGCAGCACACTCATATCTAAATATATACTATAAGACATCTAATAGAATTTAATTCGATTGAATATTTTAAGAGTTCAAATTCCCTCAAGATATCTCAAAGAAGGTTTCTAGATAATATAAAGTAAAAGTGGGCACAACTTTATTAATAGATCACAAGAGTGCTTTGAGAAACTATCTGTAGGTAGTGTTAAGAGTCATTCTTATCTTTTTTCTGAAGTAACCCTTCTAGAATGCTACAAGACCATTTGTAGAATCATGGACCAATAACTCAAGAGGACTGCTAATCGTCATACAAGATAGCGTAGCCGGGTATTTAGTACCTATTGGTACACTAGATGTCGCGACGATTACCAAATAGCTATTTTGTAACGTTATTTTACATTGACACATTGATTCTATCAAATCTGCTTCTAGTGATAACAAACACGTCAACTAGATGGCGCTATATTTTACCTCAAAATGGATATGCACCTGGAGTCGTATACAAATACATTGTAAAAAAAAACAATCGCAACTCACAACGTTTCCATCCTCTAAATAATAACTAGAACACTACTTTGTCTATTCTAATGCCATTTAGACATATTGATAGTTTAGCTTAAAATTATTCATATTTCAATGTTACTGGGTGTAAGAAGCGAGAAAAAACAATGGCTACGGTGATTTTAGGCTGAGAACACCGAACGTGCGAAATAATATTTTTTAATTTTATTTGTAATTCCAAGAAGTATGATATCGCAGATATTGCATTGGTCCCAAAGGGTCATATCGGAACGCCACACAGTGGGCCCAAATTGATAATTCTTGGACATAGGAATAACTTGTGGAGTATCGAGCAAATTTTTTTTTATGTGATATATAATAACATTCCTAACAACTTTTATTCTTGTATGATTTCTTGAAAAGTTGATAGATTCAGAGAAAAAAAAATTTTTGTATGGACAAATATACATTTTATTTTTTATCTCAAAATATACGAAAATCTAATGTGCGTGGGTTACTTACAGTATAGTTCCCATCATTTTCTATGTAGAAAAAAATAATCCGTCTGCATGT